CAGGAAAATATGACCCTTAATCCATTAAAAAATATAGTCAATAGTAGCAGACCCACAGATGTGCCAGATGTTGGAATAATTACCCATAGGTCAAGACTGTGTGAAAAAGATAAACAAAATAGATTAGCACATGGGAAAATTTTAGCCAAAAATTAATTTTATTTTTTAAAAAAAATTGAAGTTGTAAAGCAGAAGATTAGAATACTTGTCAATTTAAAAAAATAAAATACCTAAAATGCTTAACAATTCCTGGACGTAGAAGGAAAAAATATCAGTAAAAGTTAAAATGGGCAAATAGAAATTATTCAAAGTGAAGCAGAGAAAAAAAAAGATTAAAAATAAAAGAATAGAGCCTCAATGACCTTGGGAACAATATCAAGGTGTCTAATAAACATATTATAGAATCTTTGGGAAGAGAGGAGAGAGAAACTAGGTTAGAAATTGTTTTGAAAAGATAAGGCTTGAAAATGTCTCCAAAAGATAATGCCTGAAAAATTTTTCAGAATTAATAAAAGATAACTCTCAGGTCTAAGTAGTTCAGCAAGCCCCGAGCAGGATAAGGAAAAAGAAAACCACATCTAAGCACATCATCATCAAATTGCTGAAAACCAAGGATAATGAGAAAATCTTAAAAGCAGCCAAATAGAAAAGACACGGGAGAACAAAAAAAGAACAGTGGCTGATTACTCATCAGAAGCAGAGGGAGACAGAACACGACGAAAGAAATAACTTGGTGAAACTGCTGAAAGAAGAAAGTCGCTTCTCTGGCCAGCCCTCCCTGCCCTGCCGTCTGGATTCGGCCTCCTCCCGTGTGCTCCCATGGAGTCTTTCTCCAGGCACAGCGTTTGCTGAATGTGTGACCTCCTCTCATGGCTGTGTCCCCATGAGGATATGGACTCGTCTCTCTTGTTATCACGTTTAATATTGTGCCCTTAGCCCTTGGCATAGCAAGTTGTTCACAGTAAGTGCACAATTGCTATTCGCTAAGTGAATTTAAAAGGCCATGTTTATATTTTGAAATGATGGCCTGCATCAATAAAAATACAAAATTCACTGAAATTATTGGGAACCATTATATGTATACTTTATATAAGCTAAACCTAAAAAGCAAGAAATAATTTGCTTAGTAACTATTTCTTGTGGTCAATTAATGCTCATATGTAGGATATTTTCAGTGACCACAAAGCTTTGGGAGCGTGATAAAAAGCAACAGCTTGGACTAAGAATACCAGTGTATCCAAGGTAAATTGTCCTATAAATGTAGTAAAAATTAAAGGCTAAGTTTATTTCTTTTTTTCTTTTTTTTTTTTTTTTTCCTTTTTTGTCTTTTTTTGTGTCCAGCAACGGATCGCAACCCTCA